CCCACCCAACCCAGAAGCCCAGCTGGCTTCACCTCTCCATATGAGTTTGACTTTTATTTGGGATCTATTAAAAAATCCAACTCAATATTCCATAGTAGTTCATAATTAGAAATAGTTTGCTAAAACTTACTGAAAAATCTGCTGAAGATTTTATAATTATTAAAATTGGTTTGAAACTATTTTTATTACAGGAAAATTTTGATATTATTATAGATTACATTGAGTATGGTAATTTTAACCATAACTTAGCCTGAAGGTAATTTTATGTGAAGTTAACAGGTTTGTGTCTTTTAAAAGTGAGTAGATTTCATCTTTTCAAAATATTTTTTCCTTTGTAAAAGTAACAAACAACAATTATTACAATAAGCAATAATAATTATAATTGATACCTATTTGGATTACCTATTGGCCTACTATGTATTAGTCATTGTGCTAAGTGATGTACAGGCATCTTATTTACAGTTCAACTCATTTGAACCTCAATGACTCATAGTTTTGTCTGTCCCTTATTTTATTTAACAAAATTTAAAACTATTTCTAAGTCACTCATTAAATGACAAAGCTTAAATCAAATTTTGTCTGATTGTAAAGGCCATACTTTTAATCATTTATATAAAACAATACAGCTGCTTGATTTATAGAATTTATAGATTTAGCTTCTGCCATATATTTTCTTACTGATGAATGATATATATCAAATGTTGACTTAGTTTTTAAATGGAAGACAGAGACGGTTTAGAATGGCCTATTTTCAGTCAGCCAAAAATGTCAAAACCTTCTGAGTAGTCCAGGTACTGGAAATCAGAGACAATTTGAACTTCAGGATACTACAATAATTTTTTTCCTTTGTGGGTAGTGGTGGAGCATGAATTCTCTACTTCTTATCAGTCCTTCTGCTGTGATGGCCCTTTTGGTCACACCTCTGTTCTCAAAATAAGAATATAATCAAAAAAGTAGAGTTTGAGGGAACTGAGGACTAAGTCAAAAGTGGGATACCTAGGACTTCATTCTAGTTACCGTGGAATTATCTCCTTTGCTTTTCTTCCTGTTTGTGCTTTTTCTATCCTGTTAATTCTCTTGCCTTATGGAAAGCACAGTGATTATTTCAAAGCATAAACCAGACATCACTTCTCCAGTTTAATTTTTTTCAAAGGCCCATTGCATTTTGGAAAAAAAATCAAAATATTCAACATGGCCTACAAAGCCCTGTCACCCTTAAATAGGGTGTTGAGTCTGGCTCGTACCCACAGTCTAAATCTCAACTGTCTCCAATCTCCTCCCTCATTAAACTCCTACCAGCAAATCTTTTCTTCAAACTGGCTAATGCCCTATTCTAGCCTCAGAGTTTTGTGCTGCTGTTCTCTTAGCTACAGTGTTCTTCCCCAGGATTTTTATCTGGCTTTCTCTTCTTCATTTAGTCTTTTGAACAAACAGCTTCATTGAGATATAATTCAGAGACATACAATTTATCCATTTAAGGTATACATTTTAATGTTTTTACTATATTCACAGAGTTGTACAACCATCACCACACTCTAATTTCAGAACGTTTTCATCTTGGTTCAGATTTTAAATCAAATGTCACATCATCCAGTAGGAACTCCAATCACTAATTAGAAATGCCCATTATGTTTCTACAGACATTCTCAATCCCACTACCTGTTTTGTTATTACACTTGAACTTACATGAAATTATTTACTTGTTTATACATTTATTGTCTGTTATTCCTAGCATATAGAAGGTATGCCTGACACATAGTAAACATTCGATCTTTGATGAATGAATGAATAATGATAACATTAATTTTTTTTTGCTTATTCTGCCTTGTATTGTGTAAGATTAGAGACAATCCTTACAACAAACTTGAAAACCCAGACTTATGATCTCTAAAACTCATATGTAAATTAAGGCTCAGAGAAGTTTCATCACTTGCTCAGAGTTACATAACTGGTGAATACCAGGGCTACATTTCAAACCCAAGTCTGCCTGACTCTAAATAAAGGGATGTTTGATTCAGCCAAAGTAACCTGAACCCTTAAAATAACCAAACAATTGTTTGACAGGCTTTAACTTCCAGTAACATGGAAACTAGATAACCTGAGAACCTGCTGGGCACAAAACCCCTAGAATACTGAACACAATATCACAAACGTATTTTGAAATGCACAAGATGAACATGCAAAATACTGAGGGAACTCCTCAATGGCCAAAAGTGGAAAGCAGCTGAAAACCAGAACTGTGTAAAAGCCTAAAAGTTACAGTTGTCCTGTAGACATTTGTCAATCTCAGTAACAAAGGGACTTAGTATTTTTTGGCTATAGAAGACAAAAGACAAGCTTTTTGTATAAGGTGGGAATGTTAAACTCAGACCTCATAGCAGAAAAAACAGATGAAGGGTTAGAGGCTCAGTAAAAGAAAGAACTGGAAAAATCCATCTTCTGACAAAAAAAGACAATGAGGAAAGTTTTCCGTCTTGGGCTGGGTGCTTGGTTGGAGCAGGGGGAAAGAATCTCTGATTTTTCAAAAAATTTCAATTAAAAAATGTTTCAAAACTCATTTTATGGCCCAGTGTTTGTATGTCTTGTTGAATGTCCCATGTGCATTTGAAAGGAATATGTATTCTGCATTTGTTGAGTGTAATGTTCAATAAATATAAATTAGGTTCGGTTAGTTGGTAATGCTATATAAACCCTCTATAGCCTCACTTTTTGTCCGCTTGTTCTATAATTATTGAAAAGGGGATATTGAAATTGTCAACTGCAACCATGGTTTTATCAGCAGTCAGTTTGTCTGACGTCCTGCCCTTAGATTCATAATCACTTATGATTTTCATTGTCTTGATGAATTGACCCTTTTATCATTATGAAATATTCCTCTTTAATTCTAATAATGCTGCTAATGTTACCATAGCTACTCCAACTATGCCAACTTTCTTATCATTAGTGTTTGCATGGTTTATATTTTTTCATCCTTTTACTATTAACTTGTGTCCTTATTTTTTAAATAAATATTTTTAAACATCTCTTAAATGAACATTTTATGACTCATTCAGGCCTTGATTTTTTTTTTCTATCTGACACTTTCTGTCTTTTAATTGGAGCATTTACTCCACCTACATTTAATGTAATTATTGATACAGTTAGGTTTACTACCATACAGAGTCTACTATCTTGCTTTTTGTTTTGTTTGTTCCATCTGTTCTAGGATACTCTCTCTTCTTTTTCTGACTTCTTTTGAATTAATCATTTTTTTGACATTTTATCACTTTATATTTTCTTTTGACTTATTAGATATAATTACCTATTTTTAATGGTCGCTCCAAGGCTTACAATATCTTTCACATCTAAACTGTATCTTTAATGTAATATAGTCTACTTTCAAATAATAGTATACTTTTTCACCTATAGCATGTGAACCTTACAACAATATACTTTCATTTTACTCTACCTTATTATTTCTGCTATTGTCATATGTTATTTGTGTGTTTTAAACCCCACAAGACACTTTAATTATTTTTGTTATAAATAATTACCCTTGAGAGAAAGTAAGGCTTTGATAAAGAAAGGTATTTTGTATTTATCTACATATTTACTATTTCTGGCACCCTTCATTTCTTTATGTAGTTCCACTTTTCATCATTTTCCTTAAGCATGAGGACCTTCCTTGAACAGTTCTTGTAGCACAAATCTTCTGTCGATAAGCTCTCTCAACTTTATTTTGTCTAAATATGTCTTTATTTTGGCTTCATTTTTGTAGAATATTTTTGATGGATACAGAATTCTAGGCTGATTTTTTTTCCTTCTAGTACATTACAGATTTCATTGTCTTTTTCTTTTTATTGTCTCTGATGATAAATTAACAGTAATTATCTTCCTAGTTCTGTTGTATGTAATTTATCATCAGGCTACTTTTAACGTTTTTTTCTTTATTACTAGTTTTGAAAAATTGTATTATGATTTGCCTTGGTGTGATATTCTTTATGCTTTTGGGGTTTATCGAATTGCTTGGATCTGTAAGTTTAGAGTTTTCATGAAATTTGGAAAATTTTCAGCTATTTTTTTTCAAATAATTTTTCTGCCCCTAATCTTTCTCATTTCTCTCCTCTAATTACATATATGTTAGACCATTTGAACTACCCCATAGGTCACTGAGTCTATGTTAATTTTTTTCATCTTCCTTTTTCTGTATGCTTTGGTTTTCATATTTTTTGTTGCTCTTCAAGTTCACCAATTGTATCTACTGCAGTATAAATGTTTCATTTCAGATACCACATTTTTTTGCTTATTGAATTTTTATTTAGTTTTTTTCTTAGCTTCTATTTGGCTAATGAGAATTCCTATTCTCTCATTGTGTTCATAGATTTCCTAAATTTCTAGAATATATTTATATGTAGTTTTAAAATTTTTATTTCCTATTCTGTCTTTGTTATTCCTGTTTCTATTTCTATCAGCTGATTTTCCTCCTAGTAATAGGTCATATTTCCTTTTTCTTCACATGTCTGATAATTTTGTGTTATATCCTGGACATTATGCATCCCACTTTATTAAGTGTCTAGATTTGGCTGTCATCCTTAAATCGGGTGTATAGTTTTGTTCTGCCAGGTAGTTAATTTACTTGCAGATCAGCGTGGCTCTTTCTAGGCTTATTTTAAGGTTTTACAATAAAGGAGCCATAGTATTCTTTACTCTAGGATTAGATTAGCCTTGTGCCTAAGGTGTAGCCTTTCTGAGGGTCTCTTTTGAATCTCCTGGATATTCAACAAAGTCTCTATGCTCTGGCTCTATGCTCTATGTTCCAACCTTATGTGAGCTCCAGTAGTTATTCAATATACAACTTCCTTTGTAGATATTCTTACCTCAGTACTTTTTTGTTTCTTCAATAGATGTTCTTTATCTGGCCTCATGGAGTCTTTCGCTGAGCATGTGTGGCTTAGTAGCTATATTAGTCTACTTAGGCTGCCATAACAAAATAACACAGACTGGGAGGCTTAACAAACCAGAAATTTATTTTCTTACTGTTCTAGTGGTTAGAAGTCCAAGATCAAGATGCTATTAAGGATGGTTTCTGGTAAGATTTCTGGTTTATAGACAGCTGCCTACTCATGTGTCCTCACATGATCTCTTCTCTCTATACATGTCTGGAGAGAGAGAGAGAGAGAGCACGCGCTCTGGTATCTGTTTCTCTTATAAAGACACCATTCCTATTGCATTAGAGCACAACTCTTATGATCTCATTTAACCTTAACTTACCTTTCTAAAGGCCCTGTCTCCACAGACAGGCACGTTGAGGGCTAGGGTTTCAACACATGAATTTAGGTGAGGGGGATGAAGACACAATTCAGTTTGTAACAATAGTTAACCAAAGACTTAAGGGGTTTCTTATAGAGATTTCTGTAGCTCTATCTATAACCAACTTCCTTTTTCTCAGTACCATACTCCACACTTTCCAACCAACTTAGCCTCCTCAGGCTCTAATCTCTGTCTCCTTAGCTAAGTGACACTTCTGTATTCTGTTTGGGCTCTTGCACTCTACAAAACAGTCCAGAAAATTTTCTAGACAGAATAAAACAGAGTGGTCATTATATCACCTCATTTGTTTTCCTTCTCTTGGGAATCATAGTCCTGCATTGCCTCTTGTCGGAAGTCTGAAAATAGTTTTCATATATTTTGTTCATTTTAATAATACTTTATAGCAAGAGGGCTAACCAAGTACTAGCTATCCCATCATAGGTGGAAGCAGAGTTTCCTCACTGCCTCCATCCCAAGCATTTTAAAATATAGAGCTGACCTCACATGTTTTCAAAGTTTGAAATTTACTGATATGGTCTATGAATCCCCAATGCTGAAAATTAAGAATTCCCTGGGATACCAACTAGATAGAAATGTAAATCTTTGGAAGGATACATCTTCAACCTAACATGTGATGGATTGCCAAGTAAAGCCCAGCCAAACCAAAGTTCTAAAATTATGAAATATGCAAGGAGATAAGGCAAGAGTCAGCACAAACAAACATCGGGAAAAATCTCAGAATCTTTGGATTATAGAATTGTTGAATATAAAAATTAAAGCAAGATTTTAAAGGCTGTTTAATAAAATGATGAAACTGTGAGAAGTGAACATGGTACCATAAAAAAGACCAGATCTATTTGAAAAAGGCTTCTAGAAATAGAGCATCTAGAAAATAAAACTATATATTACACTAAATAGATTAGTTAAACTGTAAATACTGACACAGCTTTACAAAAGAATTAGGAAACTGATAATAGATTTGAAGAAACTGTCCAGAATGCAGCATACAGAGGCAAAGAGAGAAAAATGAGGAAAAGAAGGTAAAAAAAAAAATACAAGAATAAGAATAATTGGCACAGATTTCATTGGAATTTGAGAAGAGAGTAGTAAGAATGAGGGGAAAAAAGCATTGTTTGAAGAACTAATAGATAATACTATTCTGGAGTCAACAAATGTGAATCCCTTGGATTCAGAACTGTAATGAGCCCCAGGGAAATGTATAAAACGAAATCTGTACCTCAATTCAACATAGTGGACTGCAGAAACTAAAAGAAGATTTTTAAAGCAGCCAGAAGTAAATATATTACTTACCAAGGAACAAACTTGTCAGTAGCACTGCTAGATTTGTCAGCAGCAACCACAAAAGCCAAAAGACAGTGGAATAGTATCTTTAAAATGCTGAGAGAAAATAACTGTCGACCTAGAATTGTATATCCTACTAAGCTAATTTTTAAGTATTGAGAGTAAAATAAAGCTATTTTCAGACAAACAAAAACAGTTTGTAACAAAAAAAATTTATTCAAGAAGCATCTTAAGTATATACTTCAAAAATAAAGAAAATGAACCTTGATGTAAAGACCAAAATTCAAGGAAGAATGATAAATAAAATAAGTGGTAGATAAATCTTTTTTAAAAATTGACTGTAAAGAAAAAGAAATAGGAGGAAGAAGAGGAGAAGACAGTGGACAGTGAATAAATATCAGTAACAAAGTGGAACTAAAATACTACACAATCATAACATATAAAAGAGGAGAGGACTATGATCAGGTTTAAAGCCTTAGTCAGGAGTAGGATTGAGATTTGGATTTCTTTAGATTTTATTAATTATCTGTGTTAAGATTTTAAGGGAACCATGAAAAGAACAGAAACAGCTGGTGAAATGTGGAAACTATTGTGGGAATTTTAATTTAAAATTTTAATTTCATTAAAAATCAAGCAACCACTAGTGCATAAAAGAGACAAGAACATGGAAGAAGCAAGGTAAATATCACAAAAACAATATGACTGAAATAAATCCAAATTAACCAATAAGCAAACTGATATAAATGGATTAAATATGTAAACTAAATTATCAAGATAGCTAAAGTTAATCCAGTGCTATGCAGTTTGTAACAGATATAAGAAAAGTTTAATATCAGAAGAAACCCTATAAGCCAAAAGAGATTGTGGGCCTATATTCAGCGTTCTTAAAGAAAAGAAACTCCAACCAAGAATTTTACATTCAGCAATCTAAACTTTGTAAGCAAAGGAGACATAAGATCCTTTTCAGACAAGTGAATGCTAACAGAATTTGTTGCCACTAGACACACCTTACAAGAAGTCCTTACATGAGGAATCCTAAATATGGAAACAAAAGACCATTACCAGCCACCACAGAAACACACTTAAGTACATAGACTGTTGACACTATAAAGCAACTACACAGTCAAGTCTGCATAATAACTAGCTGGCAACATAATGACAAGATCAAATCTTCTCATATCAATATTAACCTTGAATGTAAATGGGCCAAATGCCCCAATTAAAAGGCACAGAGTGGCAAGTTGGATAAAAGCAAGACTCAACTGTATACTGTTTTCAGGAGACCCATCTCACATGCATTGACACCAATAGGCTCAAAGTAAAGGGATAGAGAAAATCCTACCAAGCAAACTGGAAAAAAAAATAGGGGTTGCTATTCTAATTTCAGACAAAACAGACTTTAAACCAACAATGGTCAAAAAAAAAGACAAAAAAGGGCATTACATAGTGGTAAAGGGTTCAACTTAACAAGAAGACTCAACTATCCTAAATATATGGGCACCCAAAATAGGAGCATCCGGATTCATAAAACTGGTTCTTAGAGACCTAAAAAGAGACTTAGATAAACCATACAATAATAATAGGAGACTTCAACACCCCATAACAGTGATCATTGAGGCAGAAAACTAACAAAGATATTCAGGACCTGAACTCAACATTGGGCCAAATGGATCTGATAGACCTCCAAAGAACTCTCCACCCCAAAACAACACAATATATATTTTTATCATCACCACATAGCACATCTTCTAAAATCAACCACACAATCAGGCTAAAACAATCCTCAGCACATCCAAAGAAAAACAAAATCATACCAACCACACTCTCAGATCACAGTACAATAAAAATAAATATGAATACCAAGAGGATTGCTTAAAACCCTATAATTACATGGAAATTAAACAACCGGCTCCTGGATGACTTCTCAGTAAACAATGAAATTAAATCAGAACTCAAGAAATTATTTGAAACTAATGAAAACAAAGATACAGCATACCAGAATATCTGGGACATGGCTAAAGCAGGGTTAAGAGGAAACTTTATAGCACTGAATACCCACATTAAAAAGTTAGAAATTTCTCACATTAACAACCTAATATCACATCTTGAGGAACTAGGAAAACAAGTGAAAGCCAACCCCAAAGCTAGCAGAAGACATGAAATAACCAAAATCAAAGCTGAACTGAATGAAATTGAGACACACAAAAAAAATTCAAAAGATTGATGAAACCAGAATTGGTTATTTGAAAGAATAAATAAGATAGCTAGACTGCTAGCTAGACTAATAAAGAAAAAAGATCCAAATGAACACAATCAGAAATGACATAGGGGACATTACCACTGACTCCTAGAAATGCAAAAAACAACAACAACAACAAAACACCAGAGATGATTACAAACACCTCTATGCACACACATATAGAAAAAAAAAAAAAAAAAAAAAAAAAAAAAAAAAATGCAAATGACTAATAAAAGAAATGAGATATACCTAATAATTAAGTACATGAAATCCATGTAAAAGACAAATGTCAATCTATTAGCATCAGATATCAAAAAACAATTGAATCTTTGCTGTAACAGAAAAAAAAAAAAAAATATAAAAAAAAATACAATGGTTAAAAAAAATAATCAAGTAATAGTAAAAAAAAAAAAAAACAATTAAAAAAAAAAAAACATAAATATTTGGAAAAAAGTATACTTAGAAAAATAAAAAAATAAAAAAAAAAAAAAAAAAAAAAAAAGAACCTATAAGAAATGGATACATTCCTGGAAACACACCTCTCAAGACTGAATCAAGAAGAAATTGAAATCCTGAGCAGACCAATAATGAGTTCCAAAATTGAATCAGTAATAAAAAGTCTACCAACCAGAAAAACTGAGGTGAAAACAGATTCATAGCCAAACTCTACCAGACATATAAAGAAGGGCTGGTGCCATTCCTACTGAAACTATTAAAAAAAAAAAAAAAAAAAAAAAAAAAAAGAATTAGGAGGCACTCCTCCCTAATGCATTCTATGAGGCCAGCATCATCCTGATACAAAAATCTGGAAAAAAAGAAACCTTCAGGCAATAAGTCTGATGAACAAAGATGCAAAAATCCTGAACAAAACACCAGCAAACTGAATATAGCAGTACATCAAAGAGCTATTCCACCACAGTCAAGTAGGCTTTATCCCTGGGATGCAAGTTTGGTTCGACAAAGGCAAATCAATAAATGTGATCCACCACGTGAACAGAAATAAAAACAAAACCACATGATTATCTCAACAGATGCAGAAAAAGTTTTTGATAATATTCAGCATTTCTTTATTTAAAAATCCTCAGTAAATTAGGCATTAAAGAAACATACCTCAAAATAATAAGAACTATTTACAGCCAACATCATACGGAATGGGCAGAAGCTGAAGCATTCCCCTTAAGAACTGAAACAAGACAAGGATTCCTACTCTCACCATTCCTATTCAACATAGTACTGGAAGTCTTAGCCAGAGCAATCAGGCAATAGAAAGAAATAAAAGGCATGCAGATAGGAAGAGAGGAAGTCAAA